CAGAGCTGTTGGGAACCAGCTGCGTGCTCCTGACTGTGCTGGGAGGTGACTGTTGATAGGGGCTTCAGTAGGGGCCTTCTCAATGCTGTCGAATCCAGCTTTTTAAAGCTGGAAGGGTTTTCTGTCTTCTGAAAGTCTAGACCCAGTTTATCCTTTCAGCAAAAATGGCAATTAGAAGAAAATTTGAAGAGGTTTGGTGGGAATAATGTGTTTTTAAGGAGAGTGAATATAGTTAATCAGGGTCTTGCAGTCAGGCTACTCAGTGTCTACACTCCAGAAAAGAAGAAATCAATTAACTCACTGTTAATTATGGTTGCAAGTTCATTGACGCTGCGGGTTCTTTACGTGCCCTTCGTGCCATCAAGGAAGTGGCAGTCGCTGGAGGTCAGAGAGGCAGCCAGCCCTGAAGCCAAGGGATCTGTGAAATAGGAAAGACTCAGAGGAGTTCAGAAGTCTGGAGTTGTAGCTGTGCCCTGTGGGATGCTCACCTCTGGCAATGCAGCAGGGCACAGCCTGGCCTGAGCACTGCTACTCAGAACAACCAAAAACCCCAGACAGCAGAAGTATTTAATACATCCACAGGTGCCCAGCAGGCTGAGTGGGAGATCCAAATTCACATTTGCAATTCTACAAGGGAAAAAGCAGTTTGTTTTTTGAAGTTTGTGGGTAAAACCCTCATAAATCTCAGTGAATTGAGGCCTAGATTTCAAAAAAATATCTGGATGGACCAGGCCTATTTCTAATATATCATCTCCCTTCTTCATTGTGACCTACTGAAAACCCCCAAACAGCTCCAAAGCCTAAAGATGGTGGATTCTCCCCTGCCCTTCTCTGTACAAGTTGCTTTTAGAATTTTACCATCTCTGCCTAGACATTTTCTATGCCCAAAAAATATTCCAGATACAATTTCTAGGAATTTCTAGACCAAATGCTGAGGAGCAGCAGATGGCTACATCTTAACTCCTCTCACACTTTTTAACAAATAAGATTTTCATTACAAAATCTCGGCCAGGAAGGTTTCCAATTTCAAAAATTGAGACATTTCATGGAAAAAAGCTATTCTGTTAATTGCCCACCCTTCTTTTTTATTATTCTTTAGTCAGCAAAGACACATAAAAAAGATCACTGAAGTCTCAGGAAGATTCAGGGAAAAAAACCGACAGGCTGGCTGAAAAAGGAAAGGTTCTGAAGTACTCAACATTCCTGTCACACTTCAGTTATTTTTATTAGCTCCGTCCAGTTAGTCAAGTGGGAGATCCAAGAGTCCAAATGAAAAAGAAAACCTCCCTAAAAAGCTACTTGGAGTACTTAAAGAAATAAGTGTAGCTGCCTGTGTGGATGTAAACACGGAAAATGACTTTTTGTGGTTTGATTTCAACCAAAAAAATGACAAAAATTAAATCTAGGAATAATTTAGCACACGGATTTTGCTCATGCATGGAAGTCATCACACTCAAAGTGAGTGTAGCACTCACTGGTAGCTTTACAAACAAAAATGTGTGTAAATAAATACAATCAGGAAT